ATTTCTGAAATAATTACTACTGAATGTGAGTGAGTGACCTCAAGAGTTACGCATTCGTTTAAAAATGATCTCTTCCTTTAACATAATTATTTATGCATATGATGCTTGTTGTTGCTTCGAAGATGAAGATATACATGTATGATTCAATGAGACCCCGGTGGACCAATGTGTAGCGGGTAACAAGGTCAAGAGTACAACGAGAATACAAATCGGCGAATTTGAAAGAAAAAACACTTGAATCAGATTTTAATTGTAAAATCTGATCGAAAAAACTACCCTCATAATCTTACAAGGAGAAAATTTATGTGTGAATCCACGCCGTATGGGCTTTCCAATAGATAGCACCCTCACCAGAAAAGGTAAAGACAAGAACTATACCGAAATAATAAATAATTTAGTACAGTATAATCTCTTTATACGTTCCATAAATATGCCGCGAATACAGAAACCGTGGATATGGAATAGTAATTAAATTCGAAATTAAAAGTAATCGTTAGAATCACCTTTAGACAAGAGTTTCCTTTTCTGTTTACTTGGTTACATCTTCTATAAAATCTACCTCGGCACGTACATACTCAAAAGATGCCGATACATTAAGGAGATTCAATAGTACATGCGCCATAGAGTATAAACATGCTTATCGGTTCTAGATATCATGAGTTTAATGTTTGGAACAGAGGTTTGAAACTTTGTAGTAAGATAGATAAAGCTTTGTTCTAAAGCTTGTTGAAGGTCATTTTTAAATTTTTTACTTTCTGTTGACAATACGTGTCCTACAAGAAGCATCAACTTTAAGCACTTGTAAAAGCCTTTAATGACCATATTATTGAAAACTAAAAACGTGCCGAGTTTGTGTGAACCTTTGTCTGTTACCTCACAAAAAATCAGATATTTATCTCGCAGCGTTAAATCACAATGTTTAGAATAGAAACCCATGTTTTCGGAAAAATTTACAGTAGGAACGAGCGGTCTATTGCGGGCAATCCCCTTAATAAATGACACCGAATCATTTTGTCATTACCGATTGCATCCGTGAATAATGAAATTTTTAACTGCGAATACAAGAACTGGGTTGCAATTTTTTCACCCGCGAATAATGAAACTGTGAATAAGGAACTTTTACTGTACAGTAATCAATAAATAATACAAATTAGGACAAACGACCTATCCCAATACAATCTTAATTACCAATACTCATTAGATTTTTTGTTATACTTATTAAATTATTATTGTTGGTGGTGTTAGCTGTTATTTTGCGATCTATTTGAGTAACTCGGCACTGCTGGGTATCCGGCGTCATTATCCGGTACCCGGCCGGATCCTAAAAGAAGAGCGAATCCAAACTGGGTACCCGGCCCATGTGTAGTTTAAATATCCTTCTTGCTTTCGCCATAGGAATCTCCGGAAAATTATAAGAAATTTTGGTAAAAAAACAGGAATTAAAAAGAAATTCAGCTACCAACGCTAATTTTTACTGGTTTCAAAATAGTAATTACGGATGTAGCATGTTCTAGTTTTCAGGAAGAGCTAAGATTGACATTTTTAATTATTAATAGTGGTTAATATGAAATATTAATGTGAAAATTCATTTTCAAATAATTAATAGTTAAAAATGTCATAGTGTTTCATACATTTAGTATCTATATATAATTACATTAGTAAAAAATCGACGGATCTGTAACCTTGTAGGCTAGGTTTGTCGTGGTTGCTGTTGTCATCACTCGCAGCTTAGTGGCAGAGCATTGGTGCATAAAACCAAAGGTCCCGGGTTCGATTCCCGGCGGGGGTGTGACAACACCAACAATTTTTCCCTCATTAATTTGGAGTAGTTTGTAGTGAAGGGAAAATTGAAAATGAATTTTCACATTAATATTTCATATAGTTAAGATGAAAAGGCGTTCAACAACTCCTTGGAATGATGACCTTATGATCATGTATGATGTAATACATCTGTGTGTCAGGCAAAGCAGTCTTTAAAATATGTAATTATAAGTTTGAGGAATATTGGAAGAGTAAATATGGCGCACTTTTCTTACAGAAATTAATGCTATTAAAAATAGTTTAATTACACAACCCTCTCGAATATATGCTAACAGGAATAATGCCGAGATAAATTATTTATTGTTACGTATTCTTAGCGATTCCATTACTGGAAATGCGTAAACAAAATTTGAATCTTTTGCGAACTGAACTGTTCACCTATTGCACTATTAATATCGCCGTGGGCGACTTGATAATGGGTTCGTTAACATTATCGTCAATTTGCAAAACAATTGCTGTTTGCCATTCGTGCTGCCGATGCCGTCGTGGGTTTCAATTTTTTATGCATCTACTGCAAGCTGCGGATCAATTGGATACTATCGGAAACTTTACAGTTATTTTGGAAAATTTGCCAAAGTATTCTCGGTAAAGGTAGAATTATCTACCACAAAATTGTTTTTATTATAACTTTTTATTTAATTGCAATTTCAGCAAGAACTTTTTTAAATTATTCGAGACTGAGCTTTAACTTTTATCACACAACTGTAAATTGCAACTTTTCTTTAAGAAAATTGTGACTTTTTCGTGGAAATTATTTACAATCGAACAAATATTTAGATTTTAGAAGAACCCATTCTAAATTTATATAAAAATGGGTCACAATTAGCCCATCAGTTTGATTGTGCAGAGTACAACCAGTTGTACATTGGACAAACGGGAAGGTCATTTATTTAAAGAATCCATGAACACAACTAACTTCAAACAAAAGAAAACTAATTTTTGTCGCTACTATTTAAGGTATAGATACCTACCATGTAAATTGAGATATCCAAATTGATCATTCCTACGGTGTTACGGAATTGATTAACAATAAGTTGTACATAAATCCGAGTGCTATGATAATGTACAACAGCCTCTTCTTTCTGCCTTTTTATTTGCATCAACTTCCAATAAGGACACTCTTGCAGCATAAACTTTATCTAACCTTTTTTTCATAAATTTGAAAATTTTCAAAATAGAAGTGTACACTTAATAACTGCACACACTGTTTAAAGTTTCGTACAGAATACTCAAGCACTCTTCACTATACCACCTAACTTGTATACGTATTAGAAGCTGAACAATTAACTCAAGATGTAAAAACTCATCCTGGTGATGCCCAGCATATCCGTATGCCTTAAAAGAAGGAAGCACAACGAAGATCTGTATTTAGTATCAACTAAGAACGCATTTCCGTGATGGATTTGCGGAATAGGATTAACATCAGAGTGATTGATTGATTGTAATCGTTACGCAAGTAGCTACAGGTAAACGTACTCACATTGTTTGCATGCGTGTAATTGGGAAAACAAAATCAAGTCAGCAGGTCTCTGAACTGTTATGATGGACTTTCTTTTGAATAAATCTGCATTTAACGCTAATCATTAAACAGATTACGTGTACTTTCGATTAAAATATTATCAACCTTTATCTTTGTTACGTGCGGGATGCGATGAACCCACTCGTTGGTTGTGTTGATTCCTATTTATAAAAAGTAGGCCGCTTGATGCTTACGCGAGATCGTCGATTGTTGCCCTGTGATACGTAAGTACAATTCACGTTGCCAGGAATATGCAGTCTTCCTTTATTTGTTGCATAAGTTTTAGGTCGACATCAAACCCCCGGATCCTGTGGTATCTTGTCAGTACATAAATTTCCAAAACACGTTAAAAATTACATATTTAATCTTTGATCAGTTACTTTTCGTTCTATCCCATCCAACCTACTCCAATCCTGTACATCCTTAACATAAACGAATCTGAAATGATTCGCAATTAAAACTTCATCATCAAGTGATTGTAGTTTCTTCACTATGATCAAAAAGGGTGAATCTATAGCATTTACACTAACCTATGTTTGAATAAAACTTATCAAAAGTTCATTGGAGGATAATTAAGGATTCTTAAGGATTAAGAATGATTAAGTACATCGAATTCTACTCATTAAACACTTTAGTACCTGAACTAACCCCTCAGCTACCTCTTATTTATTAGTTATTTATATAGATATTAATAATTTAACCGTTGTTTTATACCCAATTTAAAAAAAAATCAACAAAAAGGGGCGGGGAGTTCGTAACTCAGAACGATTAGGTAGTTCCGATTTTACTCATTAAACTTTTTAGTACCTGAACTAACCCCTCAACTACCTCTTTTTAGACCATACTTACCTTAACAATTAGGGGGTGTGGGACTGGAGGGGTTCAGTTTTTCTTACTGACGGATCAAGAGGGAGGGGACATCATAAACCTAATCAGTTATTTATATCGACATCAATAATTTAACAATTGTTTTATACCCAATTTTAATGAAAACAATAAAAGAACTTCCTTTGTTCAGGAAGGGGGACGAGGAATTTACGATATTCTTATTGTCTCTCGCAGCCGAAAGGCAGGGATCAAAAATATGTCAAAAAATTGGTCTGAGCACGCTTTGGTCGGTGCTAATACGACTAACTTCCCATTAGATAATACAGTTATTATTGATTCCGTAACTTCATTGTTGTGATTAGATTAGAACGTATTTTAATTAAATTGTTTGTAATTAATTCGTTTTTTTTTTATAAAAAAAAAACGGCTTGACCGATTTCGTTCAAATTTCTTTCAGATCTTCATTATGATAATATCTTTCGAAAAAATTTTGGTTGAGGGCGATATCTCAATCCGTTCTTGAGATATCGAAAACGAAAAAAATGCTGACATACGAACGTACGTACATACGTACGTACGTACGTACGTACGTACGTACATACACACATCATCAAAAAAATTGGCTAGCATGCTACTAATATGTTAAAACGTGGAAATATAATGAAAATTCCGATTTCACTTTTCGACCCAATTACAATAACTTCCTAATGGGAAGTTAAAAAACCCTTAGATAATACTTAGACGTTCTGGTATATCTGTTTTTTAGTCAAGGAATTGTTTTAATGCAATAGAAGATTACAATGTAAAACAGAAGGTCCATAAAAACATAGAATTCAAATCTCAAAACATTTTTATTATAGCAAATTCCATACGTACTCATGTTAATGAAGTCAAAAATTTGAAACGAACTGTATGATTAGCTACATGTACTTCTTGCTGGTGGTAGCCTTCATTTTTAATATTATTATACCTAGATACGTCTATAAAAATGCTATAATTAATATCACATTTGTAAATTGCACAATAACAAAATAACAATCAAATTAACAACAACATTGATACGTAACAATAATATCACGAAGACATTTTAATAGTCTGTACATTTTCGTCGTCACCGTTACTCGTTTCGTTTTTGGGCTCTTCGAAGTCCCCAACGGCAACAACGTAAGCGTTATTATCTACGCCGTGCAATTCTGGTTTTTTGTTCAAGAAATAACTTTGGATTTCCTCAAGAGTCTTGCCCTTCGTTTCCGGAAGGATGAACTTACAGAAGAAGAGCGACGCAAACGAAGCTACGAAAAACACGAACAAAGTTCCACTGAAATTTAGGTAATAGTTCATCGTGTTGTACACTTGCACACTTATAAATATAAATATCTGGGCAATACAAATCACCAATCCACACATTATGGATCTGACTTCTACTGGGAACATTTCCCCCACTAACATCCACGGGATCGGTAGCATCCCGAGCATGCTAAAGAACACGTTGAACAGGACGCATATCAACGGTATGAGGGCGAATTGTCTGGTTTCATCCGAGTTTATTTCGTAATACTTAAAGTAGGATGCTGCCAGAAGCATGGTAATTCCCATTCCGGCGCTAGACCACATGCAAAGCGTTCTTCTGAAGTATTTGTTTACCAACACTGCTGCCACCATGGACATGATGAACCTAATAGCGCCAACGACTATCGAAGCAATGTACTCGTTCATTTCGAGATTGGAATCTTGAAAGAAATTGACGGCGTAGTACAAGATCGTGTAAATCCCGGACACCTCCTGGCACAGGAACAGGAACACGAGAATGAAGAAAGGCTTAAGCGTTGCAGAACTTAAATAGAGTTCTTTGAAACTGACTTTCTTCTCAGGTTCTTCTGCGCAAGAACTCGGAGCCATTTTGCTGCACTCTTCTTCCGCCATCGCTGAGTTCCTCCTCAGCCAAGTGAGTGCTGATAGACTCTGTTCCCGCTGCCCTTTTCTGCATAGATACGCGGGGCTTTCGGGGATGAAAATAATACTGATGAAGGTTATTATGCAGAAACTCACGCTGATGAAGGCCACTAAGTGCCAGTTAAGTAAGTAGCCCAACGTGTATGTGACGAAGATACCAAACGATGCTGAAATTGGGCCGAGTGCTTGGAGGGGTCCTCTGTGTTCTGGAAGACTTATTTCAGCCACATAAGCGTAGCTTGCGGTCGACATTCCTGAAAATATCCAGAGTATTTCAGAACAGTTGTGTATGCATTGGTTTATTTCTGGGTTTTTTTCTTTGATTAAGGTACCTTTGCCTTTGATTCACACTAATAATTTACTCATATTTTTTTAAAAGAAACAATGCAGTGCAATTAACTGCATAAGCTTTCCAATTAAGTTTTTATTGCGCATTTTAATACCAATTTATACGTTGTCGCTAATGAATAATTGCGATTTTATCAAAATCCAAATCAAAAGTCCCTATTATTCAGTATACTTATACTTCATTTACTTTCTCTAGCGATGTGCCCTTTCCAATGTCTTGGAAGCGCTCTGGCAAAATCGTAGATAGGGAGAAAAAAGCTCATTATACTCTCGACTCTGTTCATTAAACATACTTTTTCATACAGTACCTGCCGAAAGTTTTGTTCAATCATGAATAGTAGTGCGAGTCGAAAACAAGCGTTAAAGCCTTTTTATGTCTTCAAATATAAATAAACATCTTGTGGATATTTTCAGTAGTAAATGGTACCATTAACAGCACATTTGAGCAATGCAATTGTAGTGGATAAAATGGTCAATTTTTCCGTACAGTACTGTACGGATTATACGCTCCTCACCGGTTAAGAGTTTGACCGAGAGTTGTCGCGCCGGTCAAAGTGAAGGTCACATCGCTACAGAAACTAAACGAAGTATACATATTTTTAATATTTTACCTGCTGCTATCCCTGTAATCAGTCTGCCAACGTACAACCACCAAATATTATTTGCAACTCCTAAGCATGCCCAGCCAACTAGAAACGGAAAACTGCTTATCTGCATGGCCCTCTTTCTACCAACATGATCTGCCAGGATACCTGATATGATTGATCCTAATGGATTAGACACTGCTCCTAGACTTGCTACAGTAATAAAACAAATGAATATGAAAATAAAACAAAAGAACACAGTAAAAAATAGAAACGAACAATTTAGCATAAGATTTAATTTTGTAAAATTCAATATCGATCGCACTGGATCACTTCAGCACGTCGTAGACAATTCCAACTGAATATAGGCGATAGATTAACTTGACCTGCTGTATTGAGACAGTGAATTACTACGCAAGATTATACTCAGAAGGACCTTGATGAACATTTTTGAATTCCACAAAATATCTCAATTTGTTTAAAATATTTTTCCTGATACTATTCTCATAACTTTTGTTGATACTATAAATTAGTTGTTCTAATGTAGGTACTTTGTTCTCCTTTTGGTCATATTCAAAAAACTGTTTTGGTTTTTGAATAATGTATTTTTTGCGATTTCAAATTCAAATACATTGCAGCTGCAGATATGCAAATATCTCGATACAAAAACGAGCTCATGAATAATTTTTTGGCAACTAAAGACTAAAGTGCCCGGTTATACCACATTACCGAGAAAAGAAAGCCGTTTGGTTACTGTTAAAATGCCTTTTTTTCAAAATATTCTAAAACTATTCAACAGATTCGATTCATTCATTTTTTCAGTAACGATTGCATAATAAGTATAGTCTACTGCATAATCGTTATTTTCAACATTAAATTGGTAGTTAAATTCGGAGAATTATTACATATTAAATTTGGATGATAAAAGTACCTATAACGTAAAAAAAAACTTAAGTGTAGGCACCTATGATAAAACATTTAATTTTATATTTCATATGATTTGAACCATATCTAATAATAATTGTCGCAGAAAATGCTATCTCCTTTTGTTAAGGTTAAATATATGTGTATATATATAAATAATATCGCAGGAAATTCACAATTATTTTTTTATACTCCATGTACACATTATTTAAAGTTAAAAGGACATTCTAAATTACCCATAATGCTGTGACTACACATTTTAATCGCAATAAAACAAAAAAACATGTTTGTGTATTTCATTCCTACCAGTTCCTCCGAGATACACTATAATGCAAAGCCGGGAGGTAGGGCAGAAGAGAGGAGATATTTTTATATACCTAAACACTCCAGGAAAATCACAGAAAACTTTAAACAAGGGCATTTTTTTAAAAATATTGAATACATACCACTAACTTTACAATGTTAACCTTGTTGTTTGCATGTGTTAGATGGTAATGGGCTGATGGGTTTTTTCAGTAATTATAGTTAATGAATAGAAATAAAAATGGCTGCGCAGGGGGAGTAACATTTAGATTTGTTTTAAGTTTTTATGTGTAAAGAAGAGCAATTTATAAATTAACTAGTGACCCGCCCCAGCTTCGCACGGGTGCAATGCTGATACTAAATATATTTTTGTTTTGTTTAGATTATTATCGAAAAGGGGAAATCTTCAAAAGATACCCCCTGAACATACTAAATATACTACAGAATGTCTTTATATACAACATTCACAGTTTTTTTGTCATTAGACAATACAAACCGGCCTCCCGGCCG